CCTTCACGCCTCCTCCCCCCACACTTCCTTCCACTCGTCCTCCATCGAGCAGCGCTGGAGCTCAGCCCGAGCCCAGGACAGGCGGTGGGGTGGAGCACGAATACCAGCACACACATGTGAGCTGTGTGCTTCATGCTTGTTGTGTGTAAACGCCGTCTTCCTCTTTGTGACGGGATCCAAACATACATGTCATCACTCCACCGTGCACACGCAAAAGACTTTAGGAATCTGTACATCAGCTTTGTCCACAACAAACCGACAGAACAACAGCCCCGTCCTCCATCCCTCCACTGGAGCTAAACACAGCAAAGTAAGTCGTTTGCACATTTCACTTCCAAGCAGATTTAATAGAGTAACGACCAAAAACAACGGCTCCGTAAATCAGCAACGAGCCAACACAAAAAAAAAACAAGAGGAGAAAACAATCCCACAAATCTTACTCTGCAGCCGCACCGAATTCCTCAATCAAGCCAAAAATCAGCATTAAAAGCTCTTTAAAATACTGTTGATGGCTTTTGGTTACAGGCAGTCCCCGTTCTCGTGCCTGGCAATGGTCTTTTATGGCGAGGGACCTAATACAAGATTTCTGTTCTAGTGCAAACACAGTGGCCATGGGCACCAAGGAACAGCTGCCGTATAATTGAATTAACATTCGCCTTCTGCTCCGGCACTCAGCGCTGTGCTGAAAACTCATACACATCCCTCCACGAGCTCCATCAACCTGCCCATGAATATGCATGTTTCTGGTGATAAATATGCGTTCTGTGTCTAATGTTTGTGGAGTTGCCTATACGGCGGATAAAGAGCTATACGCTGACTATCTGGGGAGGGTGACACCGTATACATCAAGTCCGTTGATCATTTTTAGTGCCACGGGCCCTCTGAGGCCCAGAGCTGCGGCGCCGGTCGGTCTGATTCCAGGTCCAACAGAGACATCTAGTGGATCGTCTGCTAACATGTGAGGAGTCCTGCTGATGCACAAAAGGCCTCCACACAACCTCACAGCTCCCTGATTTACTGGTCAACATGTAAACCTGAAAACAGCCACTGAGACCAGACACCGAGGCCGGAATACGACATCAAACCGTCCACACAGCAGTCACAAAGACCGGCTTCATGTCCAGACTTCACACACGATAATGCTGCTGTTTTTCTTTTTAAGGTTCTTTCATGAAATCTAACTATTCCAACATTATCGCTATAACTGGAGTAAAAACAGTGTACTACAAGGGTCAAGCCAGTTGATTTTACATGTTTATGTTAATTTCTTTAAAGCAACAACCTGGATTTGAAGGTTTAAACCAGGGGTGTCCAGTCCTGGTCCTGGAGGACCACAGTCCTGCATGTTCTAGATGTTTCCTTCTTCCAACACACCTGATTCAAGTGATCAGGATGGTTATCAGACTTCTGCAGAGCTTGATGATGAGCTGATCATTTGAACCAGGTGTGTTGGGGAAACATCTAAAACATGCAGGACTGTGGCCCTCCAGGACCAGGACTGGACACCCCTGGTTTAAAGTCTGCATGAGGAGGGACTGGTGTGGGAACAGATTTTCAAACTTTCTCCTCACACCAGGACAAGCTGACACAGGAGGCTTCCTGTCATTTCACTCCGTCTCAGACTTTATTCAGACTTTATGATGTTTGTTATTTGGGTCATTTAATTTCATCCAAAACTATTTTGGGTGAAATTAAAGTTTGTAAGATTTTCAGACCTGGGATGTTTTTTTTGTATTTTCATCCTCTGGGGTTTAATATCTCCAGAAATAAAACTACCAGAGTCATGAAACTAGACAAGGGCACAGACAGAAGAGCTCAGAGCAGATTCAAATGATTAAATACCTCCAGCAGACATAGACCCTCTACCTGAGCTCCAGGACCAGGACCAGTCCTCCACCTCCTCCCTGTCCTCCAGACATAGACCCTCTACCTGAGCTCCAGGACCAGGACCAGTCCTCCACCTCCTCCCTGTCCTCCATCTCTACACCATCTACCTTCACACGTCTCGTGCGCGCAGCAACGCGTCCGGAAGTTGGAGGAAACTCGGACTCACCACGGACCGCTCCTCCATCAGCCTCCATGGGGGACCGTCCAGCCCGGCTCCAGATCTCCTCCACGCCGACCAGCCGGATCCACACCGAGGCCCCGGAGACGAGGAGCCCAGCGTCGCTCCAGAACCGCCGCTCACCGCGTCGCTCGTCCCGCAGAGACGCCTCCGACCAGAACTCCTCTCTCCGTCCTCCATCAGACTCCTCATCCGGTCCCAGCTCCGACCAGGGAGGCTCTACTCAGGAGGACCAGGACGGAACCGGTCCCTCCTCAACTTCCGCTTCAGGCGAGCGTCCAGAGAAGCGACTCGGTCCCGCCGAACCCGGAAACGATCCTCCAGCCATGTTCCTCCACACGAACCCTCCGACCGGACCGTCTGGGTCTTCAGGAAGCAGGAGCAGAAAGACTTCATCTGTCACTGCTGACAACAAAGTCAGACCAGTCCAACTGCTGACAAAGTCCCGCAGCCTAGATCACGTGACCACAACAAGCCTCCATCAGGTGGACAAGGCGCGCCATAACGTGACGTCATCCCGCTACCTGTAGCCCCGCCCATTTCATTAGACCCCTTAGATACCTGAAGCAGAGCAACCTGCAGAGAAGCTGACTGATTCTCTTAATGCAACCCAACAGTTCTCCTGACGACGTTCCTCCACATGAAACCAGATCCTCGCTGGTCTTCACAGAACTTAAGAGAACATCTTCACCTGCCACCTCACTGACCACAAAGCTGAACTATTTCAGCTGCTGACAAACTCCTGGAGCTTTCAGCTCATGATGACCCAAAACAATCCTGACTGTACACCTGACCATGACATCACCACGCTCTCAGTAGCTCCACCTGGGTTGCCAGGTGTGATTCATCCTATCCACCAGCTACCTGTTCCCAGCTCCACCTGCACAGCCATTTCTGACCATGGGTTACCAACTCACCTGTCCTTCCCCACAGCCTCTTCCCTTCAGGTCTCTCCCTCTCTATCAGCACTGGGTTGCCAGTTCCTGTCCTCTACTAAGACAAGCTGTCACCAGGCTGCCAGCTTTTAGTCCAAGAGTTCAACAACATCCTGACTCTAACTCTCAACATGGCCCTCCATCCTGGTGACACAGGCGTCCATCATACTTCCATCCAGTTCACTTCCAACAGTTCATCTTCTAGGATATGTATCGTTGCCCCTTTTCAGCAACAGCAAGTCTCCCAGGAGGCATCACCACGTCCCAGCCTCTAGCTGGCATCTAGAACCAACGTTTGTTTGGGCCGTCCTTTGTTCCTGTGACGCACAGAGTTCATTGCAACACTGACTCACAAGTTGAGTTCAATCCCCACTGCCATGCTACAGAGATGCTTCCACATCCTGTATCTGACCTTCCTGCATCTCTGAAGACTGCCTGGTCTGTTCACTCAAAGGAAGTCAAACCAGTCCAGCTGGTAATCCAGCACCCATCATGTACCCCAAACTAGATTCACAGCCAAGTCCTTAGAAACCCGTAGAACACCGTATACATCTAAGTCACCACCAGCACAACGCTCACTCACATCCAACAACGAATCCAGCTCCAGTTTGCTGGTGTGGTCCGAACTGGCAAATTTGTTATTTGGCTGAAATTGAAAGTTTTTCAGGTTTTCGTGACTTTTTGTCTTTTCATCTCCAGGGTTTAATATCTCCAGAAATATAACCAGCCATGAAATTCGGTGAGGGCTCAGACAAAGTATGTGTTGAGCAGAATAAAATGAATAAATGGGTCCAGTAGACGCCAACGTTTTGAATTAACGCCTCTTGAACGTGGAGAAAGCTTTTAAAATGAGGGTGGTAGATAGAAAGATATATGAATAGATCCACATTTTCTACTGAAAGTTCAATCTGTGATGAACGCTTCAGCAACTTCTGAGGCCTCTAACGCCAATAGAGTTTGATATGTGGGCAGTAAGCCAAGGTTTCAGTTTGTCTGCTGTGTTTACATCCCATAATAGTGACGTGGACTCACTGGTAGGACAACAACTGGTCTGCATGTACAGCATGTATGACCACTACATGAAATCCAACGACGTATGAGGCTTGTTTTACCTGAATGACACTTGAATGAACACTGAACAGAGACACTGATGATCACTGAGCACATGACAATAAATCTCATGTGTGTTGAAACACATCATTACAAGTGAAGCAGGAGATCAAACAATGCAAAACAGTCCCGGTTCTTCCATGGATTTATGTTTCAGGGTTTCGACTCTCTTCTCATTGAGTCTCCATTTAAAGCTCAAGCACAAAGAATGAACAAACAGGCCTCAGGTGCTCCAGGTGGAAGCTCACCAATCAGACAGGAGCACCGGGTGACTAACGAGGACTGAACCAACCACCATGCATCTTGAAAAGAGCTCCCAGCTCATGGTTGCTGCTGTCTTGTTGTCTCACTAACCCTTCGTGAGGCTAATTCCTTGTGTGTGCGAGCTTTTCTGATTCTGATTAATAAATAACGTTAAAAGAATTCTATCGTAACTTTATCTTGAATCGATAACACCGAGATCAGCGCCTATTTCTGGAGTCTCCATGTTCTCCCCGTGCAGCGTGGGTTCTCTCCGGGTTCTCCAGCTTCCTCCCACAGTCCAGAAACATGCTGAGGTTAATTGGTGATTGTAAATTGTCCGTAGGTGTGAATGTGAGTGTGCTTGGTTGTCTGTCTCTAAGTGTAGCCCTGTGATAGACTGGTTACCTGTCCAGGTGAACCTGCCTTCACCCTGAGTCAGCTGGGATAGGCTCCGCCCCCCATGACCCTAGTGAGGATGAAGGTGTAGAGATGATGGATGATTCCATGTTGAAAAGCAATAAAAATGAAACATTTCCAAGGGGCTGAATAGTTTTGTTTTGTTTTGTTTTTTATAAATAAGCTTAACAATATTTGCTTTTATAATAATAATAATAAGACGAAGCAGAAATGAAGACAGGCAGACATGATCTGAGCCCTTTGAGTCCAGATTTATTGATACGGCTGTGCAGTCACAGAGCATGGTGGCACACACGGCCGCCTGGCCGGCACGGGACAGTGACACACACATGCATGCACATACATGCACTCACACACACGCACACATGCACACACACACACACACACACACACACACACACCCATTCACTCTCAGTCATTCTGTCTATTCAGGGATGTAGTGGAGGGTAAAATGTAAAATAAGGCGGCTATTAATGTGTCAGTCCACCTCTCTGCTTGGTTTGTTAAAAATGTTTTACCCACTTTTTTTTTTGTGTGATTTCACCGTCGTAATATGTCTGCTGCCGTTTTATAGGAGCACACACATCAGTGGTGTGTTTAAAACACACAGCTGGATGTAAAGTGAACTGTTCAGCCGGATACGGTCCACTGCATCACTTTGTCTCTTTCTCACAAACATTCATCTCATCAGACAGAGCAGGTCACAGTGAGGAGATCAGAAATGCACATTAAGTATTTTGTGGTAGTTTCACACACACACACACACACACACACACACACACTGACACACACACACATGTGCACACACACTCACACACGCTGTACATCCGTCTAACCTCAGTCACTAGAACAGTTTGAGATCAGTCATTATACGGTGATTGAGACTAAACAAGGAAACAAAGCTTCAAACAAACAACATAGTTTCAGAGTAACGTTACAAAACACCGTGTTTAGAAGTCTTTACATGTGGTGAGTACAGCTATGCGTCTTACGGTTGGTATAAACTCCTGTTAAATATTCACACAGTAGCAAGTGGAAGGTAGAGCGAACTACATGACTGTACATGTGTTGGTCCCTCGGTACACATTCTGCTTCACCAAGTGTCAGGCAGCCTGTCTGGAGGACGCGCTAAGATGGAAATCTAATCAGCGAAGATCGTTACAGTTTTGAGTCACTTTTCTGACTTCAGAGCTGGTGGAGGAAAACATATTGAATGGACACACAGAGGAGAGGCCAAATAAAAAAAAGAAAAGAAAAGAAAACTCTTCCAACATGTTGAAGACAAACTTCTGGACGATGCTTCCTCTGAGTAAACCGACGAGGATCAAACGGTTCAATGAAACGAAGAAAACACACACTACACAGCACAGAACAGCTAGAAAATAGATCTTCCTAAAGGAAAGAGAGCAAAATATACCATTAAAAATACTATACTTCTGCAACATCGAACTGCTGAGACTCTCCAACGCCGTCTCCTCAGACTACTCAGTGTGAAACGGTGTTGGAAGATATTGACTGGTTTGTTTGACTGTGCCTGGATCAGCACAGATTCAAATGACATCACAAAATTGGTTTTCCTACAGGCGAGAGGCGTACAATGGAAAGTAGAGATAGAGGCACACATTCAGTCGGCGGAGTTAATAACCACTGACTGTACATTTTAGGTAGAAGGTAGCATGTGGTGACGCTGGATGATGAACTGCTATGTCCCTCCGTGGTGTGAATGAATCACAGCTAAAAAACTGGAGTGCTGAAACAGAATGGCTTAAAAAGAACATTTCTACGACTTTATGTGATCTGTTGGTGTTTACCCTCCTAGAATCCCTCATATACTATAAATATCCATATTTATATAGCAGTTTACACGTGTATGATAGACTTACTAGCTTAGAATATACCAAGGATTTGATCTTGGCACAATAAATTTTGTGACTTTCATATCAAAGAACACAAGGAAAACAAAACCAAAGCGCACAGTTTTAGGAAAAAACGTCTCCGTCGTTATGCAAATACTGCCGAAATGCTTCTTTTCTTTTCTTCCGTGTACACATATTAAGTATATAGTAAAAGCTGAACCGGCATGGCGGTGGCTCAGTATGTTACATATGCACAGTAAGCAATATTTGCATCGTCTATACACAACGTTTACAAGCCTTGAAAAACCTGGCGAACGACCAAGAAGCAGATACAGTTTGGACTCGTAGCCTCATCACAGAAAGCGTGATGGGTTCGGTTGGCTAATAAGCGTACGCCGTGAACACGTTGCTTAAACATCACACCGACAACCTAGAAGGTGAAGCTGCTGCGAAAAGAAAAATTTTAAAAAACGTACATTTTTTTTCTCTAATTCAGCGACAGTGTTGACTCTTTGCTACAGCTCAAATACACGTAAGAAGGCATCAAGAAGAAGACATACAGTGTGTGAGGATATTAGACACATCTAGTGCATGATTCATACAGGACATAAAAAACAAAACAGGTAAACAAAGAGATATTATATGTTACAAAACGTGAATGCATTTGCGAGTGTGATATGTCTGAGATGCAAAAGCTGCATTCTAATTTTTGGACATGTTTTTTCCACTACAGGTATCTTACACTATATCCAAAACCATGGATAGATTTCTACTCCTCTTCGGATACGTACATGTACAAACGTTTAATATATACAGTAAAGAGGACAAAAAAACGCACACAAAAAGAACAATATGTACCACAAGGAACACAATTAGAATTGCACAGTGTCTGAGGAAAGCACAGAGAAAGTAAACAGGGAGGAAAACCAGCCACGACTGGCGGCAAAGACGTTGTTGTAGAAACGAACGCTCTCATCAGGAGCTCCCGAAGCACAGACACACAAAACTTTCCTACATAAGAGCAAGTGGTGCTAAATCAGTGGTAGTAAATTTAACCCTGGCGTCCTGCACAAGTGTCCATGTGTCGAACGAGCTGTAAAAGTCTATCCTGCTTTTACGTACTCACAATAAACCACTGCAACACAAAAACCTCGTGTCTTCCAGCTCACCAGACTAATGAATCTAACAGCAGAGGGGGAAGCAGGACAAGCGCTACCGTGGTCGAGTTACAACTAACGAACAGCAGCAGTCGATCGGAGGCTCGTCTTCGCCCTCCGCTGCTGTCGCTTTAAGGTCATTACGTGTTGCCCACAGCGAGCAGGAAGGGAGGAGTAATGCACACGGCTCTGCACGCCAGAGCCTGGAAGTAGAAACATGGTAGAAACAAAAGTAAGAACAGCTGATCAGAGTGAAGACAGAAGGAAGCAAAGGTGTCAGTCTGTTGGTGTCCTGCAGAGGGCGGCACAGTCCAACCAACGGCCCTCCCTCCGGCGCCGGTCCGACGCGTTCACACAGGTTGTAAAAGCAGGTTCAGGTTGAGAGAGTTGCAGCAGCAGTTGGGACAGAGTGATGTTCTCCTACTCCATCACGACCTCTGCAGTGGAGAAACAGGACAGAAATACAACAACTGTTCAGCAGATTGTCTCTGATCAAGAGTACAGTCCCTGTTTCACACCATCAGTAGACTGTCTGGTTGTAAAGTTAAAGCCCACACCTCCTACAGTGTGAACAAAAGCTGACATGCATGTAAAGACGGTGTCTATCACAGCAACGGTGAGCTTCCACTGACTCCCAGAACTCTCAGATGTCCATGATGGAGGGATTGAAGCACATTAGTCTAAACAATCGTGCTCTTTGTTTCTCATATGAATCTGTTACAGGTCATTTGGAGAGTCATTTTGAAAACACACACAGCAACGCAGGTTAAATGTCCCTCAGCCATCTGCTCTTGGTCGCCATCCACAAGCTTCTGGTTCATCTTTCACCACTGGACTTAACAGAAGTAATGCAGTTTAACTAAATGTGTTGCTGTTCTGACTTGTTTCTTCATCAGTCCACTGGTTCCTGATGGAGCTTAGGTCAGGACTTTGGGGAGACCAGTCTAGAACCTTCATCCAGCCTGATGGAACCATTTCTTCACCACTTTGATGTGTGTTTGGGCTCATTGTCTGGTTGGAACATCCAACTGGGTCCAAGATCAACCTTCTGCTGATGGTTTCAGGTTTTCCTGAACAACCTGGAGGTGATCCTCCTTCTTCATTGGTCCACCGACTTTGTGTAAAGCTCCAGGTCCACTGGCAGCAGAACAGAACCAGAGCATGATGCTGCCACCTCCATGCTGGATGGTAGGTTTGGTGTTCTTAGGGTTAAAGGCCTCACCTTCTCTCCTCCAGACATGGTTCTGCTCAGTGTTTGTTCCATCTGAGCAGAACGTTCCTCCAGAAGGCCTTTTCTTTGTCCATGTGACCAGCAGCAGACTTCAGTGGAGCTTCAAGGTTCTGCTTCTAGAGGAAGAACTTCCTTCTCCATCAGCCTCTCAGCTCATGTTGATGTCAGACCCTGTGGACACTGACAGCTGTGTTCCAGCAGCTTCTGGTCCATCCAGAGCTGCTTCCTGCTGGTTCCTGGTTGACTCTTGACCATCCTGACCAGTCGTCTCTCAGCAGCAGCTGCTAGTTTGTGTTTCCTTCCTGATGGTGGCAGTAACACAACTGGACCATGAACTTTATGCTCAAATAGTTGTTTGCACAGACGATTTTGGGATCTGAAGCATTTTTAAAATGACTTTAATGACTTGTTAAGTCAGCGATGTGCTGGTTCAGGTCTCCACTCAGCTCCTCAGACTTCACACTCTAGTGTTTGTGTCTGATGAGTGGATCAGATGGTTCCAGTTGAAGCTGGAGCCAAATTTAAACCTCTCATGAGATGTGAGGAGGTCAACTTTCTACATCACTAAAACTGATCATTCAAGTTGCTGTGTGCACATTTTTGACTCAGCAGATTTTGTTATATTTCCAAAAGCTCTCCGCCTCCAGGAAGACTTTCTTGTTTTTCAATCTTTAAATGTGATTTTGAAGAAATATCACAACTTAAGGCTGAGACATGGTCAGAGTTTCTCCTACACGAGGAGTTCAGAAAGGACCAGAAACATGAAAACCCAACATTTCTCTCTGAATGATCAATTAGGTAAGTTTATGTTCACGATAACGCTCATGTCAGCCGACAGGTTTGGGGGTTAGGAGGGTTAAAGGTGACGTAGGGACAGTAGAGGACAACACTGCCTCCCATAAGGTAATGAAACAGATATTTCAGTGTAATCTTCTGTCAGTTGCTTTAGACGGCAGGATCAAACTCACCATCGACTCCTTTGTTCTTGTTTTCTTCACCGTCTGGAGATTCGGCCCCTTCTGATAACTCTCCTGAAAAACCAGAGCAGTTGCGTCACTTGTCAGCTGATGCCTCGACTGAAAAGCACACACAAGTCACAAAGCATCCTCCTGGAGCTTTTCAAGTTCGACTCGGTTTACAACTGGGAAGTCTATTTCAAACTCTAACGGAGACGTGGAGGAAAGGCGCACGGACTGATGCACCACGCTCCCGTCTTTGGCTTTAGGAAGTCACAACAGGTATTTTTGTCTGACTTTGAAGTGCTGAACTGAGAAAATTATTTGCAGATCATTTGATAATAGAAGGAAGCTGCAGCCTTACAAAACAAGGCCTCATCTAGCTAGAGCTTGACTAATATTGAATAAAAATGTGTATTAGATGCACTGAGGTGAGATCATTTGTCAGGTGAACTGGCTGGAACAGTTTGGAGATGCTGCAAATCGAAGCTGTTTCACTCAACAGACAGAATAACAGAAACGTTCAGTGCGGCGTTAGCGTCACTCTGCAGGTCAGTAAACTGTATTTATGTGTCGCACATGCAGACAAGCAGCCGTATGTCACACAAACAGGCGGTGCTGATGGATGTACCGTTGTGAAGGAGGGGATTCCTGTGCGTGGCGCCCCCAGGCTGCGTTCCCTGCTCTGCTTCCCCTGTGTTACCATCTGCTGATCTGCTGACCTCTGCCGACTCGGGCGCCTCCCCCTCCAGGTCGTCCTCCTTCGGGTCGGGCTCGTCGGGTTCAGTGTGGACCTCCTGGGGCTCCATCACCTCCTCCTGCTGCGCTCCCTCCTCCGCTTCCTTTTTAGCTCGCTCCTCCGCCTCTGAGGTTAAAACGGAGCACGGAGGCAAATCAGCCAGTCTGAGAGGATGAACTTCTTACTTTAGCTCGGCAGGCTGTTGGTTTGGTGTCTGACACTTGAACCAGCACTAACAGTCTGTGGCCACCGGGGGGCAGCTGAAACAAGCTGTAAACACAAGTCCACCTTCAAACTGGTAGAATAAAGTTATTATTACATCCAGGAGCTTCAGAGAGACGCTGCCATTCTTCATCTCTTTATATGATTCATGATGCAAATTCTCCTGTAGCTCTGGTTTTGGTCTCCACCAACACAAACAGCTCAGCGCTTTACTACAGTCACCAGTTAGCTGCAAACTTATTGTGTCTGTTTTTGAAAAGCAAAAGCAACGTGTGGAACAGACTAAAACTTGAGTGATACTTCTGTGCAGGTTCATTTCTATGTGTGACCAACACGTGATCCAGTGTTTATGAAAACAGAATCATTATGAGTATTTACAGCAGCATGTTGCTCAGCCTCTAGTCTGTACACTTGGCTTTTATTTATTTCCTGCTTGCTGAGTATTTATTTGAATAAAACCAGCCATCCAATCACAGCGTAGAGGGGGCGGGGCAAAGCGACCTACTGCAGAACAACAGCTGAACAGAACCGAAGAAGTCACTGCGTCTGCTCTGTGAGCGTCCGGGTCAGGACCAGACGACACCCCGCATCACTAACAGCCGATATAAAGTAATGCTTAAAGGAACACTTTGTTCACCGGCGGCTCGTCGCTCATTTCAGTCGGGGGTGCAACTCATTACCGTCACCAATATCACGTATCATAGCAACCAAAGAGTCTCCGCTGACATGAAGCTGCCTCCAACGGGCGCTGAAGGGCAGTTTCCAGCTGGAGGCAGCAGCTTTAGTGCCTGATCAGTGTTAGATAGATGGTTAATGAGACCTGGGCTTTGGTAGGTTTATTCTGTTGACCTGCTAATAAATCTGAATTCTCTCTGGCAGGTTGTCTGAAGTCAATCATTAATCCCCAAATGCTCCATCAACTCTCCAAGTGCAATGTTAATAAACTATCAATATTTAATGAACTCAGGAGCTGATAAGTGGAGAACATGAACCCAGGAATGATGCTGTTCTTTATACTGACTTCCAACTGATGCATAAAGCACAAGTAAATCACACATTAACATTTAATAAAGCCAGTTATGTGCAGATTACAAACCCTGATGAGAAAGTGGCGCCGACATGATTAAACGCATTCAATAAATGCTGATCAGCAGCGGTGGATTTTATATAATGAATCCAAACAGACTATTTCCCACCGATGCCAGACGTATGCGGGTCGGCTGAAATCCCCACGAGCTCAGAGCATCGCAGCATTACAGCCCATTTTCTCCACTCTGCTGGATTTCATGATCTGTTCGGACAGATCGGTTCCGTCGCGGCCTCCAGTTTTACAGGATGTAGCGTACCTTTAGCGGCCTGGGCTTTCCACCGCTCCCTGTTCTGGTACACCTCTTCGTTCCACAGCGCCTTGAAGTTCTTCATGTCCACCGTCAGCAGGGAGCTCTGGCCTGACGAGCTGCTGTCAGAGCCCATGCTCTTGACGCTGTGCCGCTTGGCTTCATCTGAGCTAATACTGTTCAGACTGGACAGTTAACAAAAAAAAAGAAGACGATGGGAGACAGGAGTTAGGACTGATGGTTCATGCAGGCAGCTCGGTGAGGCTGAAGTGAGACAGCAAACCCTCCGACTCGACTCACATCACAGCTGTGTCACTTCATGAGGGATGGAAACGGTGTGAAATAAGAAATATCACTTTAGCAAACCATAAACTTGTGTGAATCTACGCGGGCGGACGACTGCAATCACTTCACGTCTGCAAACGTGCAATAAATAAACCGAGCAGCTGCAGGCGGCCTCCGACACATAAACCTGCAGACATTCAGAATCAGAAAGCTTTACTGTCACTGCACCAAGTCCTGGTTCACTTGTGCATCAATAAACACCAATAATAATCCCTCCCCGATCCGAGCTTTGTTTGTGTGCGAGATGTGGGGCAGGACAACCATTTTTATAAATCATGGAAGCTGCCGTGAGCTGTGGGTGATACCTGGAAATGTTTGCAGATACGTGGACTCCAGAACAGAATAGTGCTGAAAACTGCGTCTTATCTAATAACATTTTTAAGCTTTCATAGTTGCTCTTTCTGTAAAGCAACAACACCAACAACAACAACAACAACAACAAACTAGTCCCTTCACTTGATGGATGAGCTACACTGCTGGATGGCCCCACTTTACTGAGCAGGTACCAAACATTCTTTGAATCCTTCTCCTGAAACAACCATAAATGCCGTCACAGTCATGTGAAGCCGATCCACTGAGCTTTGGCTCAGTTTGGACCCAAAACGTAGAATTAAAAACACAAGCTTTCAGGTTCAGCTGCGTGTTGAAATGAAGCCAGACATCTGGATCGACTAGACGACTAGAAGGAGCTGAAGTGCTGTGAGGGAACATTTAGAGGAAGCCCACCAGCACACAGGTGTACTGTCTGAGGTTTCCAGTCTGTTAGCTTCGACTGGCGGCCCGCTGAGTGATGCTAATGACTGCTGTTAAGGAGAACAGGGAGGCTGATATTGATGTGCAGGTGCAACGGAAGAGCCAGACTCTCCGAGCGCTGTTTTGTTTTCCAATAAAGCTGCTTTACAAGACGCCGAGTTCAGACACACAACAAAGTTTTTTAATTATCTTCATCTGCATAGTTTGGGTTTCACCAACACGGCGGTAAGTGGAAGGCATTTTCTTATTTTCAAAGCCTGAGTGTGAGGCCAGAGGAGAAGTATTGAGCCAATTAATTAAACCAGTGGAGACAAAACCACTTCCCTTTGCATCTCAGGAGGCTACTGCGTATGCCGATCCGGCGCCGAGGCCCGTTTCTGATCAGGGACGGTGAGGTGAACTTGACTAGCATTTCTAAAATGTCAATTTCAGGGTGTGTGCCTCTGCCTGATGAAAAGTGGAAACATTTCCACGCACAGAAATGGATTACTCATGGGAGGCTCATCTGCTGTTCTCAGTGCTGCCATTAGATATGCTGCCGCTGCAGAGGAGCTGCTCAGGTTTAATCGTGTAATTGAGCGAGCAGTTACTCAGAAAGCTACGAGAGGTGAAAGGTAGAAAGCGGTAAATTTTCCATCTTTGATTAACCAGGCTGGTTGATTAAAATCCAGTCTGATTTGCATACAGTCACCCACTTCCATCTGCTCGCTGCTGCTACTGAGCAGAACAAAAACTCATCCCAAACTTCTCATCAGTCGGAGAAAAAGCTGCGGCTCACCTGGAGCGTCTAAAGCCGGCAAAGCCCGAATGTGAGGCCTCGTCGATGAGCGGCGTGACGATGCGCTCCATCATGTCGGTCAGCACGGTGAAGGTGGGCACCACGATGAAGTCTATGAACCCTGGAGACAAACACAACGTCAGCGTGTCTGCAGTGAAGGGTTAAGAAATGTTGAACACAAGAAGCACCGTGAACACTGCCGACAGCAAAACAAACAGTTCAATCAGACGTACCTGCAGGATGTGTGGACAAAGTAAGTCAAAGGGTTTGTTTTACATATTTGGACACCTGATCCTCTGAAAACACCTGAGCAGCTCACAGGAGGAAACTAAACATTTCACTCAATTAACACACCGCTGCCCATAAAGCTGGAATAAAACATGTGTTCACCTCTTCTCATGGACAGACTGTGATTTATTCCTGATAGATAAAGTGTGCATCTTCTCACAACTTTATCGATATCACAATATAATATATATCACAGTAAAAATCAAACCACAGTTCACTTTTACAAACTGTGTATTCAGGCTGACGCTAAACTGGAGGTACTGAACAACAGGATGAAGGGTTTTGTTGAACAGGAATCACATTCGAGGGGATTTCATGCATCAGAATGTCCAACATCACTCCTTAAATGTCACTAATACTGAGTCTGGTGTTCAGACATGGTGGCGTCCTGTCCACCAGCTGCTTAATGGTGTCAGTGGGCACCGGCTAACTGGGACTCAGTCTGTGACCACTGGACCTGGTCAGAGTGTTACTGATGTGTAGAAATAGAAATGAGAAGAGGAACGTGTGAGGAATTATTCCACCTTTATGGGTGTATTTTATTGTGGAAACAGGAAGTAAACCCATTGGAGGACAGCTCTGCCTCCTTCAGCACATAGCTTCACGTAGTTCTTCTCATCACTACTGCTGAGTGGAGGAGCTGCTCACCGATCTGGGACTGGGCCACCATCGTGGACTTCCTGTCGCACAGCGGAGAGAACGGCAGGCCCAGCTCGGCTTCCTTGTCGCCCTGGAAACACAACAGCATCCTCAGTCAAAACAGCTCCAGAACAACCCGCCGTCGCTCCTGGTGGCTCACACCTCGCCGTCCGGACCAACACTCACACTTCCAGGAACAGACTTGTGACTCGTCTGGGCCCCGCCCCGAGTGCTCCTGGGCCACGGACGTGTTTCATTTTCTCCTCCGATTTGTCACAAACGGATGAGATGTGGAGTCGGGAGGCAATGTTCTCTGGAAAAAGCCATTTATCGGCAATTCGTGTCCCGAGAGACAAAAGCCTCACGAAGGCAGCCACAATAACAACAGCAGCAGCGATAATGAGAACGACGAGGATTAATAACGGAGGAGATGAAAGCAGTGTGGCACGATTCAAATGTCTGTTCTTCTTGATGACACTGACAAATACACAGTTTATTATTTATAGCCAAACGCATTGTTTTACCAAAGAGGTCACGTCGGAGGTTCTGTTCCCGCCTGGTGCTTGTCAACACACTGAAGCGATAACTCACAAACACGTCGTCGTTTTATTCTAAATGTGCCGCTGCAGCTGTGTGAAAGAAACCTCAAGTAACTGGGACTGAATTAAAGGAAGAAATAGCTTCTGTTGACACGGCAGCCAGCCACAAATAAACCCTAAACACCGGCAGCACGGCCATAACAAGAGATGAATTGACTGGACTGCACCTCCAGACGTGTTTCATCCTTCAGCAATCATAAGAAGCTCTCAGGAAATACATCATCCCAGCAGCTGCTCGGGCGCAGCAGGTGTTTCCACAGGTGTAATTCTGAGGTCATGAATGAATGTCGATGTCAGCTTTTAAACCAGTTTGGCTGAAAGGTCCCTAAAGGGCTCAGAAAAACAAAAAGCCTGAAATTCCAGGAGAACCTCAACCCGTGTCAACCTGGACAGTTATATGTTCCCCAAAACTGCCTTGAAACTAAACTGAAACAGTTAGAATTCAAATATTTTAGTCCCAGTTAGAGTTAATAACATTTAACACCTGCTGACTAGTAGCCAATAATAATAGAACTGATTAAAAATATATGAACATGAGCCACGTACAGCGCTGAACAAATGTGTCAGACCTCCACCCAGTGTAGTTAAATTAACAGTATCGCTAATTACCACAATCACCTCTTAAGTGTCTGTAGTGGTTCATACACCAAAACGACTTTAAACATCTATGAAGCTTTTCAAAGCTTGTGAACGAGGACGACCTTCGTCTCTCACCTGCATCAGACTGTTTTTAGCGTCTTGTGGGATGTTTGATGTTTGGGTGCGTTTCATGTCGTGATCTGATGGTTTCTATGAGCTCTGTTGTGTTCTCCCTGTTCCTATGATCACTTATGATCAACTTTGTTTTTCATTTATTTCTTTTTATGTTTTTTAGTCTTTTTAAACTATTTTTTAAAAAGCTGCGGCGTTGTTTTGTTTTATTTCAGTCTTCGTGCCATCACGTACATGTGATTTATTTTACCGTCCTGACACAAATCTTGAGTTTCTGTTGGACTTTTTTCTCCACAGCCGATGTTTCGGATGTCATCGTGAAGGTTGTGCTGAATTATCCCACATTAAACCAGAAGCTTTCACACTCACGGAGGCAACCGAGGTATTTTAAGACCATAAACACCCAAATGCTGCAATTTCTGTCAAGAATCACGGTCCAGATAAATCTGAACTTGCTAGAATGATTCACGTGTTTTCAGATTTAATGCTTTTTCAGAGGAAATAATCATCGCTGACGTCGTAACTAAACATCAGCAGACTTATACCGGCTACAAGACAAACAAACAAACAAACATGGTGACACTAAATCATCTATTATTATCTATTATCTCCAAACCTTACAGCAGGATTATTCAAGAAAACAAAACTCTAGCTAATATTAACAGGAATACAACTCATTAATATTCTCCATTTTGTCCTCTGCATTCTACAAAAAGGTTCCAATATTCAGTCCACAGCCACTGAGACAAAGGGGACAAATGGATTTATCACAGTCGGGCTGCATGAGAGTGGATTAGCTCTGCTTATCTGAGCATCTAATAAATCTAATAAACAGTTGAGTGTTTATGCAGCCTTGTGCTGCTGAAAAGCTCTCCAGGTTCACATCCACTGGACCGGACCTGGACTGACCGTGAGCTGCCGGGAGGATCCACTCACCTGTCTGAAGAACTCCTCCAGCAGGGAGGTGGTCCAGCGGTGGTGGAGGTCCCAGCTCTTGGCCGGATGGCTGATGTCGGCCGTGTGCAGCAGCAGGGACAGCGCCTTGGGCTTATCGATGCTGAGACAGAAAACAGATAAACAACCGTAAAAACCCAGCATGCCAGAGGGTGTTAGCTGTTTTAGTTTTCTGAGCGGGTCCAGTCCAGCGAGCTGCTTCCGTGGTTTTACACTGACAGACATCAGGTTCAGTGACTTAACAACACATAAGACAGGACTGGTGCAGCTGGTTTGGTCTGTATCTGTCGAGTTCAGCCACTGGTTAGCACAAAAACAAACACAACTACATTATAAAAACACATTCCACACAAATGCACAGCAAGGTTATTGAAAAATACCAGCCGGGGGGAAGGATGCCAGACCGCGTCCCTGAAGACACGAGGTCATAACAAAGGAACGGGAAAAATGTGGCATGGCCGTAAATGTCTCTGCAGCAATCTGCCCACGACGACCGGCGGTCTGAGCGAGATGGAAAAGCCCAGGAGGTGGCAAAGCTTTTCCTTGAGCAGCTCACTCAGATACTCAGGCTGCACATCCGGACCCCCGTTACTTTGGGTTTGATTTGAAGCCAGCCAGTACGGACCAAACAGAAACCATCAAACCAGGCCAAGACAAAAATAATCAACAAATAAAACACTACGGGAGGTTAAGATCTCGCAGGATATGACCTTCAGAGAAGATGTCGTGAGTAAACATCAGTGACAACATTAAAAGCGCTGACAGCTGAGGTCAGTAACATCGATTCTCGTCTCTTCTGTTGGGTCCTGGTGTCTCGACGTGCACCGTCCACCTGGCAGCAGCTCGTCTTGGTGACAGTGGCCTCCTGCAGCGGAACAAAGCCGCTCAGGTCAACAGGACGAAGAGCCCAAGGTGTGGGCGTGGCTTCCAAACTTCCCAGAATCAAACATTGACAGGATGCACAGGACGGCCCAGTGTCCCGGTTCTGGACACCTTCAGAGCTCCTGCGTCCTGTTTTGGTAACACGAGGAAGGCGACTGGTTTTAATGTTGTGGCTGCAGATTGTCTGATCGTAAACACAGACGCATGAAGAAAACAACAGATCAGGACTGATGAGACTGAATGTCTTAGATGTGAGGTTGCTCAGACAGAAGACATCTGACAGAGCAGAACAACAGCCGCTCAGCAGCGAGTGTTTCTAGCAGCAGGACAGCGTACGTGGGAATATCTCAAAATAAACCGCAGTTTGTGTGTATTTATGGTATTAAAGTAGGATGTGAGCCGCTGAGGTTCACTTGGGATCAATTCACTGCCTTTTCTCTTTTTTTTCGTGGGACTTTTTTTCACCATTTGAGCCTGAATCTACCGGAGATCCCCGTAAAACTGTCAAAAAGACAAACCCAGTGCTTAAATATACATGCACCTCTTTGAGTATGTGCAAAACACAGAAACACCTCCATCCAAAAGAAGAGGAGGACACCAGCCTGCTCTGGTCGTGCTGCCTCCATTAGACTAATCTCTGCTCTTCACCGGACCACAGCGTGAGGATGCATGAAAGCAGACGTCACCTGATAACCATATCACCGTATCACCTTTAATGGACTGAAACGGACGGACGGAGACCGACCAGGCAGACAGAGAAGCCCACGTGCACACCGAACAAGGTCAAACGGAGGTGAGAAGGACGAGCTCGCTCCTCCCGTCGTCCCATTTGTGGCAGATTGGGTCTTAAAAGTGCACTCTAAGCAGGCCTGCAGCAGCCCGGTGTGGATTACTTCACATTAGAGTCCATTCAGCGGCGCGGCTCTATGCAGACTGCAATCTCTTATTTATGTGCACGTGTGTGTGATTGTGCACGACGCTGCAGCCTGACGATAACCTTGCAGTCAGCACCTTTTGTTCTGGAGGAACGCTCACGAGCACAGCAGCCGTGTTATTGTTGTTTCCACCTTATGGTATATACGGGGTATATAGGAAGTGACTTATCGCTGCATCAGTGCCTCCTGAGCAGCTCTCAGATTGTGATGAATGCTCGGTATTACCGCGGCGAACAAAAAACACAAACCCTGAAGGTCAAGCGGTTTCTTGCAGCTTCGTCCTGACGGCGCTGACTCATCACGTCGTACGATAGTTTGCTCGAGAGATTCTTTTTTATTTCTGTCGTGCGCCTGCGTGTGCGGCAGTTATCAGGAAGTTCTGTTAGGAAGCACTCAGAGATATGCAGACCACAACCATCCACAATACTGACGGAGCGGCGAGCTGGTGGAGCAACCGGCCACTTCTGTTTTATTCTTCAACTGCCACTGGAAGAATTTGAACTTGAAGAAGCTGCACTCTCTCTAGTTCTGATCATCAGATTCTGAAAACAAACATCAACATCCACCTCAGGATGAATAAGTTTCCATTTGCCCTCAAACTCATCTGTTTTTCTGAGAATTCAGCCACAAGCCTCCGTTCATTGATTCATCTGGCTGAAGAGGACGCAGCTCAGCGACTGAAACACTTCCAGTAAGAGAAAGTCAGACAGAATGAATCTACTTCTAGAGTAGAAACCAAGCAGCGATGAGCCACAGCGGTCCAGCAGCTCCAGGTAACAGCGGAGCTAAACCCTCGGCCACCAGAGCTTCTCGGTTCCTCCACTCTGAGCTCCACCACCTCCCCGTTACACCTTTCATGCTGTTTGTAGAAGTTAGGAAGGATGTTTTGGATGTTTACACCACATGGTTTCTAGAGTTCTAGAGTCTCTTGTGCATGTTGCAGATGCTGCCAGGCTGGAATGTGAGGACACTGAAGGTCAACCAGCAGCTCTGTGGTGCACCTTCAACCAGCTCTGTTTTGTGATGGAGCACACTGTCCTGCTGTGCTGCCGTTGGGAGGAGTTCCTACAACAACGTTCTGTGGGTGGTGTCTGTAGAACCCTGTAACCAGATGATCAGTGTCCTCCAGTGCGGTCGGTGAGGATGATCAGTGAACTCCAGGATGCTTCTGCACAACAATCTGAGTGGACGATGATCTAACTCTCCTAAACCAAACCTACACTGTCTTCTCTTCCTGAATAGTTTCCTTGTGTAACTCTCCACGTTTCCTCGTTCTGAACAGGAATGAGGAATTTAAACTGAATCCACCTTTTTATACCAAACCTGAGCAGCTCACTGGACTTCTCTGAGAAACTGATCCAGCATCACATTCAGCCACTAAAACTAATGTTTCTGTTCAGGAATGTGAGTAAATAATCTGACATCTGAATCAATAAATAATAATGAGCTTCACTAATAATAATCATATTTTAGCATCAAAACTATCGTTCTGGTCAAAGATCTTCTACATCCTGGTGTCTTCACCATCACAGAGACATAAGAGATGATGTTGGTAATGACCAAAGCTGATAATTTAGAGCAGCAGTGGCATTAACCTGACATCTAAATCATTTATTTATCACCGTACCTAGAAGTCTTTGAGTCCAGATCAGACTGTCTTGCCGTGTTTCTGATTCTCCTCACACTGCTGACACTCGACTATTTGGCTGCTGTGCAGATGATTTTAGATTTCTTTAACAAAATTTCAAAGCTCAGCCAAACTTATGACTGTAGTTTCTAAGAAAGTATTCATATTAAAGAATAGTAGCAGCAGTAAAGACAATAAAGCACTTTTACCCACTCGTCAGCTGTAGCAGCGCTGCAGCGTGCCAGCAAACCGAACAGCAAACCGAACAGCAAACCGAACAGCAAACCTTCCAGCAGTCTCTGGTGCCGGCTGTGTTTCAGCACAGTGTGCAGATAAATCCCTCCCTGCCAAATGACTCCACCGTAGCTCTGCTGCAGACTTCCAGCACAGAAAAACAAGCTGAAGTCGTGTCTGGGAGAGTCTGCTGAATACCTGTTCTGTATAATGCATGACATTCGGCACTTTTTGGCAGAAAAACACTTTTTCTTTTTCTCCTTCCATTCATGCGTTTCCTCTCTGTTGCTTTGTAACGTTGCGTAAACAACATCTGAGCAACAGAAAGCCTCCGTTGCCTGTTTCAGATGGACCACCTCATATAAAACTGTTTGTTTCTCCACGAGCACCCCCTTCAGAGCCGGTTAAACGGGCTGCAGCCAGCAGGTGGTCCGTAAACAGAGGCTGTGGCGTCGGGTTAATAGAGATGCAAACCGTAGGCGGTGAAGGAAAAGACGACTGACCCCTCAGGCTGCTGCAGGAAGTTCTTCATGGCCTTGACCTGCTGGAAGTGGCAGGACATGTCGGTGGCCAGCACCATCTCCACCACCAGGGCCCGCAGCTCTCTGAGGAAGAACACCAGAGAAACGTGTGTCACACTCACAGGTAATAAAAGGCCACTTTCAACTAAACCAAGCCCGGTTTTGAGAGCTATTTATAACATCTGCTCGACAAGTCCCGGCTTATGCTAAAAAGAAATCGGATCGCAGCTGTCTCGTATGATCACGTAACAGTTCCATTTCGCAGGAAGTTGTTGAACCTTGAAGGTAATCCAACTTCGCTGCCTTTGACTCAGTTAATCTACAGAAGTAAGAGATGCGCTTATTTTGAGTGTTGAGTCGGTGCGACTGTTCCGACCGACTGCTTTAACGGCCGTTTCTGTCTCCGTCTGTTCTCACACGATATCTCTACATCTCGGTTTTACTTCCCTTTCTTCCGCCTGTCCTTCCTCTTATCGCCGGGCTGTCTGCTATCACTGACCTCCAGTCGTCCTTGGAGAGGTTGTAGAGGATGTTCATCTCGTCGTCGTCCTGCAGCAGGCGGTACGCGGCGCTGACGTGGTGACTCTCCAACACTGAGCGGTCGTTGTAAAGGATGGCTGTGTCTGACCTGTTGGTCAAAGAGAAAGTCTCTCGTTTGTTTCTACATTTAAAAAAACAGCTTTAAGAACCAACACGAAGCCTAAACGCTGCTCTGTGCTTTCTTTACGTGTCGCGTCAGTATGAATGTGATCAAACCTCAGGATGCCAAAAATCTGTCATCTCGTCCTCTTTGACTTTCATTTATCTTCTTATTCTCTTTAACTTCACAAACCAGCGCTTGATGCACATCAGTCACTGCAGACAGAATACTGTGTGCATATAAACAAAACGAGTTCTCGCTGCCGCCACGAGCTGAACTTCAGAGGCAGCGAAACATCTACAAACCTGACTGAAACACGCTCAGTCGAATACATCTGGTCTTGTTCTACATTAACCAGCAGCAGCTGAATGTTGTGTATGAGGCCTTTCTTTATTTGGATGTCCAGAGGAACAAATCAAGAACTAAAAAACACACAACAACAACTAAATCATCTGGACGACGTCCTACTGAGGTGCATCTCGGATAGAGAAGCACCTTGTGACATAAAAATATGCATGAAGCATTCGTTGCTGTTCAGTCCAACCCGGTCCATAAAAAGTTGTGGAGTCTCAGGTAAGAAACAAACTTCTTTGGAGGGCACGAGGTTTGGAGTTCATCATCGGTGTTATTGCGGCGCTGCAGGCGACCACAGCGTGAACGGAAAGGCCCCCTCGATGTAAATGAAAACATCGATCGGGCGAGTCGGCGCCTCGCATTTCTGATTTTATGATCCATTACCTCGTCTGGATGTGGAAGTTGTTGGTGGTCCCCGTGTGCTCGTAGTCGTGCACCGCCGCCGCGAAGATCATGGCGAAGATCTCGAGCTCGGTCAACCAGTGCTGCAGGGAAGGAAGAGGAGGAAGCAGGAAAGGATGAAGGAGAGGAGGGTCGGACAGGAGGGGGAAGGAAGGCAGCGAGATGTGACAGACAGAAAGGAGGAGAGGGAAAGAACAGCAGGAAAGAATGGAGAGAAGAAATGAGATGGCGGTCAGTGATGTAAAGGATGCAGAGGAGTGTTTGGCATCATTACAGTCAGGGAGGAGAGGGGACAAGGAGGCGGAGGAAAGGTTGAAAGAGCAAAAAGGAAACTTCAGACGAGCTTCAGTGAGAATCACATTTCAAACAATCACTTAAACACTTCTTCCCCTTTCTTTGTCTCCAGCTCAGTCTGGCTAGCTGTTACAAAGCTGGACTACAAGTTTTAAGCTTTAATCTTTCTTCAGTAAATTTGTGCCACCAGCACAGAAAACAACGAGGAAGCAGAAGTTTGGTTGAATTTTCCATCTGAACGGACGAGTGAATGCTGGAAAGTTCAACATCCTGCGACGGTGGCTCTGGTGTTATGTGTTGTTTTGGGGGTTTCTTAAAAGACAACAAGCCTTTCAAACATCTGGCGGTTCAGACGGTTAATCAATAAAATCTAAAACAGTCACTTCCACAGACTGACTGAGGCCTTCACATCTCATCCACAGCTACAGGATGTTCAGGTTACCTCATGTCTAAGAAGCTGGAACCAAGATGTGTTCATTGATGTGCGTTCATGTTTTGGATGTTCGTGTTTACTCTGAATGTGTGCAGCGTCTACACACGTCTGAGCAGCCATTTTCCTCCACACGCATGTGAGCGCGCTCAGAGTTTGGCTTTAGCTCGGGAAGCCCAATCGATCCCTGTGACTAATCAGCAGTGGGGGAGTCATGAGGAGCAGGGTGGGTGCAGGATGGCCAATCCAGCGCTCGGTGCATTTCCTCATGGGCCTGCTTTATGAATGACCTGTTGATTGTTGATTTCATGGAGTCTGGAGGGCCTGAGAGTGATAGATGCTGTTGTGCTGCTCTCCCAGGAGCCCGTGGTTCTCGCTGTAATGTGGTTTGCTCGGCGAGGCACTGCTCAAAAAAAGCCAGCGTGCCGACAGCTGTCGCAGCCACCTTATTAAGGTGATTAAATAAAAACAGTGGGAGCGGGGGCGGCCGGCTGGTCGGCTGGCTGGGGACTCTGAACTCAGGCTGCAGGTTTTTTGGAATGAATGCAGCATCATAAATGCCCTAAAGTCACTCCTGTGGGAAGCAGTGAGATATAGGTCACCGGATGGAAAAGGAACAAAGCTGCAAGAAGCACAGACGAGAAATGAAGCAACGCTCAGGAAAGAAATAAAGAAAATACTTGACTTCAGTAACAAACATTTTCTTAGAAAGGTAGGTTTGTGTTCCCAAACTATTTAAGACTGGAATTAACGGCTGCTTTTCTTTGGATGTCTGTTTATTCCATGAAAAGATGGTCCACGGATTGCCCGGGATCAAAAAAAAAAGCCATATTTAGAAGCTGCATGTTCGGCAAAGCTGCAATTAGGCTGGCATACGTCAGCCGACAGAGATGTTCTGAACAACATGTGGACAAAATCCCCGTGATTTCACAGACTAAGCTTTAATCCAACGAGCTTTCTTTCTTGGAACTGGACCAACGTGTTCGACTGGTTCCTGATGGTTTTTAGCAGGTCAGCGCTGGTCAACTCACCACCATGCCGGTCTTGAGCAGCAGGTAGTGCACGGTCTGCGTGACGTCGGCGGCGTGCATCAGGTTGTGGTAGGGGTTTTTGTGTTTGCTGTATCCAACTTCTAAGGCCTCCACAAATGACACCACGGCAGAGATCGGGATCTGACACAGAACAAGAGAACAGTCAGAAAACAGGGAGGAACGTCTCCAACTATCCACTGGCTTAAACGACGGTCACACACAGTTTGAATGTGAGCAGCATTTTCAAACTGATGTCATAAAATCACGGACGGTGAATCATTTTGCCGACTCTCCGCTGTGATTACATATTCATCCCAGCTTCATTGGCCGTGTCATTTACTCTCAGATGCTGTCACATCAAGTGGAGTGTCCTCCGCTATGAGAGGCTGTGCAAAGTGATCTCCACTGTTATCAGAGGAGATGAAGTGCGTCCAGCCCTCCTCCTAAAACTCTCATTGTTGAAATGCAACAACATAATCTTTGTCTCCAGAGACAGAAGAGAACGTGTTCATCAAACCAGACGTGATTCTTATCGGGACTTGCTTTAATGACATCAGCAGAGGCCGACCGGCGCCCAGCAGCTCGTTACATCCTCCTGGTTTTACCTTGAAGCGACTGATGAGGTCGTATCTTGTGAGCAACTCGTAGAATATGAATTTAAGGGCGTGATCCCCGCTGGCCTCGTTCAGAGCGAAGACGTCGAAGGACCACTTGTCAACATTCTGTGAGGGGAGAAAAGAATCAAGTAATGACAGCGTCCTTCTCAAACATCCTCGTCCAATTAAAAGGAAAACAACAACATTTTAGAAGGACGGAGCTGAAAGTCGATTTCTTGTAAACAACGTTGTGTGAATGCATCGACGTGTGTCGTGTGTTCACGTCTGTGTGTTTCTGCTGGATGTCGGTGTTAATACCTTGAGCACAGATATGACAGAAGCGGGGTAGCTGAGTCCCACCATGTTGGACGTACGGCGGTACATCCTGTGTGGACGAGATAAAAACATCAAATGAGGAGCGCCGCTGAGTGTAAACACCAGAGGTTAGCACGGCCGCCCCAACCGCAGCCTGGAAGGTTCCCCGCCGAGCCTCTATAAAACTGTAAATCAACGCAGCGCAGTGTTATGGCAGAAAGGTTAAAGTGAGAGAAGGTAGACGCTCCTGCAAGTCGTTTTATGTTGTGTTTTTTTTACATGCAAAGGCTTCGTGGGATAGAACACAGCTTCACTTCATTACAAGCTGCACAAAAGCTGCCTGATTCCCAATTCTCAGCTGAGTCATTAGATTCAGTTGGACGGTTACAAACTATGTGGCTCAGCATCCTAAAATATTGTGGAAAACACATTTTGTCTCCATGAACGCAGCCGGATGTTTTCATCAGTGAAGGTGGACGTGCTCTGGACGTGATGGACGGCTCGCACCGCACCACTCCGATCCTTCTTCATCGAGAAAGCAGACTCTCCTCCGTAAAAGAACGATTAGGAAAGACCCTGGCTGGCAGGTCTGAAGCGTCCTGATTTAAACAAATGCACGTCGCTGTGTGATGAAGTACGGCCTTGGCAGGAGAGCTGTTCGTAACTCTCTGAACGACGGCGCTCAGCCCGGCGTGCCAAGGCCGCCGTGATGTACAGCCGGCTGAGGCGAGGCACAGGAAGCAACCGGAATCCAGCAGACTGAAAGTTTGGGATCATATTAGTTTTCAAACTAAGAAGTACTGCTTGAAATTCTGGAATATTTCCCCTTCTTGCAGGTCATTTTGGTGCAGACACATAAAACACAAAAACAGGAAGTACACACCTCGTTACTCGTCTAAGTTATAAGTTATTTATTTAATTCAGTTGAATTCAAAGCGTTTGTTGTCATATGCAGTCAGGAAACTTGTTCTTTACCTGATCAGCAGGAACCTGAGCCTCATCCTTTGTTTACGTCTGATAGTTTTCATATTCCTATTATCGATGCACTATCAATGAATAATCCAATAATTTCAAGACACTCCACCTGGTGGTGCAACCTGGTACTACAGATAATCTGTAATACATGCGCACGTAAAGAAGACAGATTTTTGCTAGTCGTTGAGGTCACGGTACATCCTCTTTTTTAGGCAGTGTCCTACCGGGTTTTACAAGGTTCAAGCCAACATGAAAACACAGCCGGGATGCAGACATGTGATGCTGTCCTCAATGCATTGTGGAGCGATCCAGTTATCAACGACTCTAATGTGCTTCAAGTGTGTTATCTGGAAAAATGGCATCAGATGGGGATTTGGTGTTGGCAGATAATAAATATTAAATGACCTGGATCAGCTCTGGGGAGGTGCTCTTCTATAATATTCATATACACATTATGTAAAGATTAACTATATATATATATATATACATATATCTGTATATGTATATGTATATCTATATATCTGGTGTTGTGTTGTTGTTGCTGGTGCAGAATTCCCCTGAGGTTTCCACCAAAGGGATCAATAAAGTTCTATTCTATTCTATTCTATTCTATTCTATTCTATTCTATTCTATTCTATTCTATTCTATTCTATAATGTTTGCGATACAGATGTCGTGATGCCCGGTAACGGTCTTATTGTCGATATATAAAGGCTGTAAAGTAGAATCTCTCCACAGAAAAGGAGCAGACATCATGTGTCATGTTGGGTTTCATGGATCTAAAACTAGTCTCAGCTGCCTGTGTATTTCCTTTGAAACTCAAATAAACTTTTGTTTTGCATAATAAAACAGAAACGGCAGAAACAACACGAGCAAACTGTGCTGTTGAGATATAAAAAACAAACAAACCCTGAAGGCTGATACAAGAAATCTAACATCGATGTGCATCACAGGAAAATACTGACGCAATAAATCCACAAAACTCAAAACAAGCTGCAGTCAGAAAATTTAAACTCAAAACTTTAAAACACTTTGTGCTGAAACATGTTGTGTAAGAAGCCCTGATGCGTGGACGTGCACCGCCCTGCTCATCTGGTATGCAAGGCCAAGCTAAAGATGTTGATGGACCTGCTATTCGTGGCTCCAGGCGACACTGGTTTGGGTTTAATGACAGATCGCCAGCCTCAGAGGGCAAAAGATAAGGTCCAAATCAATTATTCAGAATCTACGGGTCTGTCTGTGATCGTGGAGGTGTTCATCACTCTCAGTTTTACCTCTCAACAAATATGCCGGCCTGGACGGCGTGGACGATGCTCCGGAAGCGAGGCTTCTCCTCATTGCGGCGCAGCATCAGGCCCATCTGTCTGGTGAAGGTGGAGGCCAACCAGTCCCGCACCTCCGAAGGCACCGACTCCGACTGGATGTCGCTGAGCTCATCCTCGGTGTCCACCAAACGCCTGGAAGCATCATGAGCACAAGACAGAAACAAACGGAACGTAAGTGAAAGGAAGACGGAGGGACTAAAGGCTTACTGAAATATTTATCATTTATTGCAGCTCTACTTCCACGGGGGATAAAAGTCAAATCCCAGCGCTGTCCATCAAATCATTTCCCCTCTTACGTAACACCAAAACATCCCAGGCCTCTTGATGCACGATTCAAATCCAATTGTGTGATATAATTCTCGGCGGCCGCCCCGTTGTGTTGACATGTGTGTGGGATCAGGAGCAAAGCCTGCAGGCTCCCTGGACCCAATACATGTTCTTATGGCAAAGAGAAAGCGCTCGCATCGCACCGATAATCACGGCGCTACATGGATTCTGCACCGGATAGTTCATCATCCTCTCTCCTGGAGTGGTCGTGCCATCGCTGACCCTAATCTGGCTGGATCCAGATGATGAGAGGTTTACATAACTCCATAAGCCTGCTCATATCTGGGATTCTGGACTCAACTATTGACATATATCGACCCGGTGTGTTTCCTAACCTGAGCCATATGTTAACAATCATTTACCATGACAGCAGTATGATCTTAGCCTCGGGCTGTTTTTCTTTGACTAAACGTGAGCAGGAGGGCAGCAGATCACCAGCCAACCTCCTGCTTTAAATGTGAGGTCTCGTGATGTCTACGTGTGGCGTTGTGATCATTTTACTTCAAGATCGCAAAATAAAAGCGTCCCACATCAGCAGGAGGCTTCAAAATGTTCTCAGGCAGAAATATGAAGCATTCAAAAAAGCCTGCAGCGTATTTTTGGACTATTTTTTATCATCCGGTGAGTTTGTTGGCAAACTGTTTGTTATTTGAACAAGCAGTGGTTCCAGCGTTCACTCGAGGTTGTCAAATATTTCTGCAGCTCTCATTCTGGTTTCAGGAAAAATCTGGAAAACTAGAAAACTGTCTGAAGCTCGTCTGACACAAAAAGGCTCCTCTCATTATTATTATCAACATGAGGTCAAACCAAGTTCAACGGTGTCGGTATTTCTGATGATACAGAATGTGTAAAAGGTTTAAAGCAGGAATCCAACATGTTCATGTTCATCGTCGTTGTCTCTGAGCTGCTTGTGATTTATTATATTGGTGATGTTTCCAAACAGAAAGAACCATTTTACTGAGACGCATCACGAACATGATGCTGCTCAGTCGACATGAACGTGAACATGTTGATGATTTTGTTCTGTGTGAACTTTGGATGCTTTAAAGGCCAAAAGTGGTGAAGAGGTTTCACTCATTAGAGGCCAAAGCAGTGGATTTATATCTACATATATCTCTATCTACTCTCGGTTCTACTCAGAGTTGAGTGAAACACGACTACCGCTAGCTTTCATTGTCGTTCATGTTGTCTTGCTTGAAATCTCTGTTTTGAAGACAACTTCCTGGTTACAGCGTTCATACGTAAAACTAACAGAATCCTGATCCAAAAAACGTGCAAACCATGTATTTTATTTTTTATAATAAACCATAAACAGCAGAAACAGAATCTTATCTTATTGCTTATTGAAGAAATCTCACATCAGTGTGCGTTATAGGAAAAACTAAATCATCAAAATAATAAAAAATAATGCAATAAATCTACAAAAACAGGCCAATGAGCCACAGCAGGCAAACAAACCCCAGATAATTAAATCATGTGTAATTAGTCTGTGTGTGTCTATACGAGTGTGTATCCACCTTGCATTTATTCAACCCTTTATGAAAGAGAGAAATGCTAATTACAGTCAGATATGATCAGTGGGGATAATCTGAGACTGCATGTAAGTTAATATGAGTGTAACTCAATCTGACTGTGGTTCAGTCAGTCGTTCACCCTGATGACTGATATCAGGCTTCGGCCCTGATTCATCTGTGCTGGCAGAGCTCTGGAGTGAAGAGCACCGTGTTTCCTTGGTTGAAGTTTTCTACCATCTCAGTCCATCCTGAACCAGAAACTAAAGGGCTGCAGCCACAATAACTACAGTCATCAGTTTGGCCACTGTCAGCACCGCCGCTCCTGTTCTCCACAAACGAACCGAGTCAGAACGTGCTCCACCGTGAAAAGCTCGTGTGTTCTTACCTCGTCTCCTCGATGTAAACGGATTCCAGCACAGACGCGGCATACTCGAGGTTTTTCTTGAGGTCGGCGAGGGAAGCCTCTCCTCTCTCCAGCTGCTTCACCAGACACCGTAATCTAAAACAGAGATCCAGCAGTCAGTTAACAAATGGGATTACACCCCCTGCCATCTTGACATGATGAATTAATTGCAGCTGATATTGGATTAATCTCGTCTGGGTGCCTGCTGCACTCGGCACCGCTGTTCCCGTTCTGTCCATGTCAACGCAGACCTGTCGTCTCGGCCTGAGCCACAAAGTGGGACGGCAACAGGCAGCAAATACAATATGGTCTGACCTGTAGGCCGAATCTAATTGTGCTCCGGGTTATGCAGGCTTTCCCACCCACACCACATCAGGACTGTGGTCTCCTGTTGGTCCGGTTAAGCTCCGACTCCCCCCAAGACAATAACATGCTCGTTCATCCTAAGAGCTGCTGACTTGTCAAACACAGTTAAAATTATTATTATTATTGGTGTTGGTAATAATATTAATAATA